TCTTGCACAATAAGGTGGCTGTGGGCAGATATTAATACTAATGCATGAGACAACTGCTTACCTTGTGTGTGCAGGGCTGTTTTGTGTAGATGGTTTCTTCACATGGGTTTATCACTTCTCCTCCAGTTCTGCCTTCATTCCCTCTCCTTTTACTGCCTGACTTCGTCAAGTCTTTACTTTTCTGCTTGTCCAAAAAGTACCTTACAAACCTACAGGGATAAATAAATAGGGTTAGTGATAAATGCTTAATCAGTAACCTTGTAGTTCTTGGCCTCAGCATTGACTCTGTTGGCTTGTGCAAAACCAGCCCTGCAGGTGTGGTGAAGCCTCCAGTGTGGTGTCCCACAGGATGGGTGCAGAGCAGCAGCACATGGGGGTATTTTTGTTGAGCTACAGATGCATTTTTATATAAAAATGTGTAAAAAAGCAAAGATTCCTTAGTAATCAGTTAAAGCAGTTGGCATTTTTCACGGATGTACAGAAAAGAAGTCTCCTTATTTTAGAGTTCATTTAGTGAAGCTTATGGCCAATCTTATTCTTTTCATAATGAAGCCCTGCTGTAATCCCACCTCTGCTCTCCTAAATTCCTCAGTTCAAATGTGGAGATAGCAGTTAAAATTAAATGTTACTTCATGGAAACCACCAGTTCTCTTATTCCTGTGAATTTTCATCCTTGAGCTTCTCGGGCTAATGATAAATAGCTGATTCCTTCCCTTCCTTGTGCTTTTTCTCCAAACAACAACAAAAAATTGCTCCGTTAAATTCCAGTTCAAATTAATGGAAGTCTGGGGGAGAAGGAACAGACAAACAAACAAGGAAGTGTTTTATATTTGGGTTTTTCGTTTCATCTCGTGGCAGATGGGTTTGGTGTTTTTTACAGCCACCTTTTGAAATCAGTATGTTATTTTGTCATTTCTTTGCAGGAGAGTAACAGCTCTGAATCTTTATCATATTGATCGTTTCACAGCCCTTCGTCTGGGGCCCAAGATAATACAGAGCATTGTTATTGCATTATTATTTTTCATTTGTATCCTATTGATTTGCTGCCAGTAACTTACAGGTCAATTTGCAAAAAGATGGGCTATGATTTATTTTTTTTCTGAAGGATTATGCCACGATGGGAATGCTTTTATAAGGCTGTCAGGTCTTTAGGTTTGTTTTTTTCTTCTCTCGGGAGTGCAGCACATTTCTGGGCTGGTGGCACGGTTCCACCTGGATTTACACCCGGAGTATCCATGACTCTCACATAATTCATATGGATAAGTGGCTGTACATAAGCCTACCCTTAAATTGGAATTTTACTCCCGGGAAATGGTTCTTTTCTCACTCAGAAATAACACACAAAGTCAATATAGTTACACTGATGTAAAAGAGAGGGGAGAGCAGACTTTATCTGTCTGAACACAACAAGCTCCCAAGGTTTAACACCCCCAAATGGCAGGTGCTAAAAACAGACATGAAAAATTATTTTTGGTACCATCTTTTTTGTTTGCCATAGTAACAACAGTTTACTACCAAGTAGTAGTAGTCCAGTTACTAACAACTTGGTACTCAGAAGGCCCACTTTTGAAACAAAATAAGGACTCTTAACCAAATGTTTTCCTTATTTATATTTGACTTACCATCATTAGAATGTAGCTACTAGGAAAGCATGGGTTACAACAGTATGTAAAATTGCACAAGTACTTTTAATTCCTTCTGTATAAAACTCCTGCTACATAATTTACACAGGGTGAGTTTTTTAATTACTCAGTGCAAAATGTGTTAAATGCAGTAGCTGATGTATACATCCACCGTGATTTGTACTATTATTTTTCCCTGGAACCCTTCCAGGTAAATCAAACCCACAGTGAGGGACTTCCAGTTCATGTTCTGCTTACAGTGTATTGAATTTTCCTGGCATCCTTTCAGCAGGAGCAATTTGACAGGAGAATTTTTTTTTGGTAGCACTGAATACCTTTTTCTGCCAGTGACTATTTTCACGTTTGGAATTGGTGTGATGTTTTATACTGGACTGTGGTACAGAACTGGGTGCTGATGTTAAACCATCCTCTTACCAGCTCAGGTCACTGGAATAACCTTCTCAGTGTGGGAAATTTTATTCTAAATTGTAGATCATTGATGGAGCTCAAAGCAAGACACAGCCCAATTAAATTTCTCATTCATATCGTGTCCCATGACAAGAAAATTATCAAGTAGAATTGATGCCCTTATGTTGTAGGAATATTTCAAAGAATGTTTTAATATGTTTTCTTCTCTTACTTGCCCAGGTTTTGCTTCACATTTTGACACCATTAGGTGTCTAATACAACTATACTAGACAGGAGTGAGGTCAAATGAGATTTCCTGCTTAAAATGGATGTGTGAAGTCACAAAATGTGCTGTGAGTGGCTGTTAAATGCAGCACAACGTTTCATATACATATATATTCATATATATATATATATGCATGTGCAGCTAAATATTTTAGTATGCATTTATGTTAATATTTGAGAAACAAAAATGACCATGTTCCAAGACTGCTGGAGGTTTTCTTAAACACCATTGGATGATATAGTGCTATTTATAGACAGACGAAAAAAAGTAATTTTTTTGTTGGTAATATTCATGAGTGGTTTAGTGAAGCTAAGATTTTTTTTTTTTAATTGAAAAGGAATTTCCTTAAAAAAGCCAAATCCTTTGATTTATTACTAAGGAATCTCTGAGTTTTTTTACACATTTTTATATGAAAATGTCTCTGAATATTATATTCAGAAGAACTAAGTTGTAGTTTCAAAGTTTATCCTCCTTTACAAGAATGAAAGATGTTTCAAATTGGTCAAAATCTGTTTCAGCAGGTCTCTGTCAGTTCTGTTTCTGTTAACACAAGTCAGCTTCTATTAACAAACACAAGGAGTTTAAAGTTAATGCTTTAAAGTTAAACATTGTTTTATAAATCAAAGCAACTGTTTTCCACCAAACCTGACTGCTGCTTTATTTCAGAGTCCTGCAAAAGTATCTGCCTTGTATCTGCCAGTAAATTGTGAAAACAGTTTGTGCTTTCCTCAGTTCAGTTGTACTTCTCAAGAAAGGGAGATTTAGCAAGAGTTTCTAAGTTACCCAGACACTTAGAAAAGACCCCAAGCACTTTTTACAATGATGAATGAGGATATTTATTCCTCAACTCAGATTTAGTGATTGACTCAGACATTCTGACTGCTACAATGACACTGAAGTTGGGATATTTGAAATGAATCAGTGAGCAGAACACTGAATTGAACTTATTGCTGATTTACTACCTGATATCTGCACAGAACCCAACATTTCTGATTTCCTCTTTTAAATCTGGCAGCTTAACCATATTTATAGTAAGCCTTGCTTCACTCTTTGATTGTGAACAAGTAAAAAAGCAATGAAATATTAGTTACATAAATGTCTATCTCTAAAAATTCTCCACGGGTGATAAATAATTAACTGGATTATTTACTTTTTTTTTTTTCCCCAGCAATAATATACAGTGCCTGAGTTAAGAGGTGACTGTTATCACAGATATCAAGCTCTTCTGGAAGTTCTCTGTTTCCTGCACTGTTTCTGGTTTGGTGCAGCCCTGGACAATGTCAGGTGGGTCAGCTCCTGTCAGGGTAGGTGCATCCTCCCCCAGCCAGCAGGTCGCTGAAGGGTTACTGATGCACCATCTGTTGACTTGGCTACTGGAATGGGAATAATTTGTGGCAGGATCCCAAATGATGAATTAACACTCAAATTTGTGTTGGGGATAAACATATTTATAAAGCTGCAACGCAATTAGTTAATGCTATTACCAGATAATAAGGGAACTCTTCTGGAATTTTGTTGTCTGTAAAGACATCCTCTTTGCTAACTGAGGAAAGTACATCACAGAGCTTTGGCAAAATCCCCACCTTTTATACAGCGCTATTCCAGAAGAACTTCCCAAGCAAATCAGGTTATGCCTCTGCACATCAGAGCCTTCATCATCTGAGTTTTGCCCTTACATGCAGAAGCAAAGACAACATTCATATTGTAATAACCTCGAACCGAAGTTCAGGTGGTGTTGCAGAACTGGGGAAACATATATCCATAAACTGTTTTCCTGGCATAGAGAAGCCAAAATTTCATGCTAGATCAAATCATGTGGATTAAATGTCAACAGCCATAACCTTCAAGCAGGACTTGCAAACTCAATCACTGGATTATGCCGGACCAGTCTAATTCTTCATAAATCTCTTCTATGTCTTTCGATATCATTAATGAATTTCTGTGATAGTAAAATACATGAGATAATATAAACATTAAAAAGGGACAGCAAATTAATCTTTTTAATATAATCTCTCTTAGGAAGCAAGTGCTTCCTTAATATGAAAATTCATTGGCAGAACCTCGAAGTGAGTAATGGGTGCACTCCTGTGAAGAGGACATCTGACTGTGAACATCAAAGCAACGTGTGACTGTTGGGTTGTGTTTGTGTTCACACAGAAAATCTGTCATTCAGCAGCATCGGGGCACTTGTAGCTTGGGCACCTCAGGCTATACAGTCTCACAGTGTAGCAGCCTGTCTGTACAAATAACTCTCTCCTCATATTTCAGGTTTCCAGATTTTTGTTCTTCCATGTTGGTCTGGAATATGTTTACAAAATACACGTGTATGTGCAGTTTATATTGCTAGGTATGGGGTTTTTTCCTCAACAAAACATAAAGTGTGGCACGAGGCTACTCAAAGGCATTTTTCTGCACAGTAGATTTTATTCTGCAAATTAAACTGCTGAAGTTGCAGCCGAACTTAGTAGCCAAGTTTATTCTGTCAGTGTCTGGTCTGTAATTCATGAACCTCCCTTTTTTGTAGCCAGAAGATTCCCTACTCTCTTTTTATTAGTCCTTTTAGAATATATAATCATGATTTTCTTAAGATATTTATATGACTTCCAGGACCTGTACCAAAAAATACCTTTTATTTTTTCTCTCCTCCCAGGGATGTCGTGTCACCACTTGAAGATCTCAGGAAGGACAAATCAATTTTGAAGTGAGTCCTGGTGCTTCTTTTTAACAATTAGTATTCCTGTTTCCCGTGGTTCCTCCTTTATAATGAGGTCTAAACATGTCAAGTCATTCTGGAATATTCCCTGAAGTATTTTGCTCTCTAAACACAGCCAGGGGGATATTCAAACATTTCTGAATTAGGTCAGACTGAGGTAACAACACACGTTTTATCATGGAAGCAGCACACCAAAGGAAGCGTCAGGTTTTCCATTTCTGAGGGACTCTAGGCCAGGCCTTGGTGCCTTTTTGCATCTTTCACACGGGGTACCTGGATGGATTCCAGGGCCACACGGTGAGGTTATTTACCATGAGTTGTACAGGTGGTGAGTCTAAATGATCTAATGATCTTATGCCCAGAAAATCTCTCACTCTACATAATATTCTTGACCTTTTCCTCTGTCGCTCATTTATCTGCACTTGGAGAAGGCTGGCACGTGGCTTCTTTTATTGATGGCTTGCTGCATGTCCTAGGATCACTGTTAATGTGCTGTAATCTTTATATAGCCATTAAAGCACTATTAGAGACCTCAGTCTTGGACTTTATATGGTCGTTGGAAGAGTTTTACACAGGTTATTATCATGTTCCTTTGTCTGGAACTGTTCAGCAAACGCCAGGCAGCAATTACAGAAAGGGTTACTTACCATCAAACCTGTACACAGAGAGTTGGTGAGATATATTTCAGAGGTATAATTCACCCATCCACCAGAGCACAATAAAACACCTTCTTTATTTCTGATTTTATTGGTTCTGTCTGCTCTCATCTGGTGCCTGAACATTTTATCTGTTCACGCTGCTGTTTTCTAATGCAATAAAAAGAGCAGACAGGATTTTGCCCTTTGTTTAAAATGTTTTGCTGCATTTGGAGGTAAATAACAGCCACTTTTTGTGTTGTATATTTTGAGACTTATCTGAGAAAGAATTGTTTTGATAGTAAGCAGGCTCTACAGGGTCCAACCATTGTTTAATATGAATAGTCTCTTCCAAACATCTTATTTTTCCTTTGCTCTGACATGAATCTGTCCCTCTCCCCTTCCATCAGCTCGTGCCCTATGTGGGTGGTTTCCAAAGTGTGGTAGTGCTCAAACACAGCTCTCACCCCACAATCCAAGATGAGAGCTGGGTACTTGCCCTCAGGCTTAGGAAGAGACATCTCTGGGAGTCAGGCACCTGAGTTCCTTCATTAATATTAAAGCAAAAAAAGGAGAGGAAGGCTCTGGCTCCCAGTTCTTACATGAATGGAGTTTAAATCATTTACATGAGGAATTCAGCGAGCAGAGATCCTCACTTTCAAGCAGATATGTCTTTTCAGGAACAAGCTGACACTGAGCACCAAAACAGATCACAGGAACTACAACAAAAAGCAGTGTTCTGCCAAAGCTAAAGGCTGAGGAGTCTGTCAGGGAGAATGATGGAGCTAGAGGAGTGGTATTATAACAGGGAGAGGGGAAAGAGTGGAAAGTATAAGAAACTGGAAAAGACTTTAAGAGACATAATGCTGTTTAATGGGGCAGAAACTGAGAGGCAAGTGAACTACAGTGCAGTGATCAGCATTTTGTCAAGACGATTTGTAAAAGGTGACAAGTTGTAGATTAAACGCTTCGATTCACCTTTATGTCACTCTGCCTGTGCACCTGTGTCATTCTTTTAATGTAATAACCTCCACTAACACTTATAGGCTGCAGCATAATTTTGTTGACCTTAAATTAAGGAAAAAAGATGTGATTCTGGAATTTGAAGCCTGCAGTACTTTACTGGCTAAAGGGTAAAATAAAGAAGTGTAGCTGAGTGACGTTTTCATGTCACGTGATGAATCCAGGCTCATGCATCATAGGAAGTCCAAAACAGCTTGGTTCATATAATTTCAGCCTCTGTCTCAATCCTAAAATTGTATTAAAATTAAAGCCTCGGGTTTTAGGTATTTATCATAATGATTTATGGGAACTGTTTTCTTTGTAACATAGAATATCATAGGATGGGAAACAGCAGTAGTTTGGGGGATCTTTCTGCTTTCTTTCCTTTTCTTTTTGTTCCTTGCTATGTGACACTGCAGAAATGCAATCTAAGTGAGTAGGAGAAAGGCAACTACATTAGGTTAACAAGTGAGGAAAAAAAGTCAATCTTTCAGGCTTTAGAGGAGCTGATAAAGGAAAAAAAACTGTGCCTGCAGTAGAAAGCCAAAAGATACCAAACAGCCTGAGATATGCTTTCACAAATCAACAAAGAACATAAACTAGGGAAAAAAATGCCTTCCTCTGGTCTGTGTCCCTAAGATGAGAAACCGAAAACCTGTGAGTATAAAGCAGGTGTGGGATGGCTGTCAGTGGAATGTCAGCTTCCAGCAGACAGGAATAACTCAGAGGGCTCAGGATGAGCTCTCTGCTGCCTCACACATTGTATAGTCTTTTAATCAAACCCCAGAGCGAATCGTTTCCAGCCCCAAAACACACATCAGACCACGAGAAAAAGGATTACAGCACAAATGGTGCTTTACCAGGATTTAAGATCTAGAACTAGTACTAGACAGGGTTCAGCTTGAGTAATGATCTTAGTTCCTTCCTTTTCCCTTTCTCCTGAAATATATTTACCTACATACATACCTGTTTCTTCAGCAGGCTTCTAGAGATCTTCAGAGGATCCATCCTTGAAGCACTTCCATCCTGGAAGTGCTCTGACCTTTAGATACTGACAGAGGAGCTGTGTATTCTCATGTTCTATAGTATGTATTGACAATAATGGCAGTTTTTCCATTCCCTTTGTAAATAGCTTAATTTTTACATATTTCTATGATTTCAGGATATAGTTGCCCTTCCATAATATATAATATTTCTATCAATTCTTTTAATCTAGGGATGCCAATGCTGTACCACATTATACCATTTAAACCATGTCACTCATCCAAAAGGAAAAATGCCCGATAATCTGTAATATGAAGCTAACTAATTTATCCACAGAGGCAACACTACATGCTTGACTGATAAGCAGCTTCTGTCTCCTGTGGCCAATGGTAATTCCTTTTCCATATTAGCCATGTGTTGGACCTTGGGTTTGCACATTTTGACACTGGTGCCAGATTATAGGTAACAGCTTTGGAATGTGGAGTATCCTCTGACGAGGATTGCACACCACTACCAAAATAATTTCAGTTAGCACTCCAATTAACTGTAGAACTGAACTCCAGGGGTAGTAACCAGTGTCTTATCAATTTAATTGTTTGGTGCCCATGGATTTTTTTCTTTAGATTATTTTCAGGGAAGGATATGAGATATACCTTTTACCTCTCTGTTTTTGTCTCTTTCCATGGTGTATCAATATATCACATCAATCCCTCCAACATCTGAGAGGAATCCAACAGAAAAATCTGCATCTTCTAGGCCCCTAAAAGAAGTTTTTACCCCAGTGTCTGGAGCAATACTTCGGAAAATATTTCTGTAAAATTCTCCTTTTAATTCTTGATCATGCTCAGACATATTAGACTGATATAAAACCCCCTAACTAACTTCACCAGCCTCGGTGGAATAGCCAAAGTCTCTGCCAACTTTGCACTATCAAAGCATAATTATATTACAATTATAAATATAATTATCACAGGACATTGGCTTCACAACCTGAATCTTCATGCTGAGGGCAGATAATAGCATTTGTCTAATATTTTCTTGACACAGGGACTGATAACTCCAGGCTTTGTGACGGACCAAATCCTTGCTCTCCCCAGTTCCTTGGGGCTGAAGGTGCTCACCCACACTGACAGTTTAGTAAGTGAGACTGGATTATGTTTCTACTAGCAGAGCTGCTGTTATGGAAATTCCTATTCTAATGCACTTCCATAGAGAGAGAAATACAGACAAAAAAAAAATCAAGTTAAAAACTAGAAGGCAGCATTTCTGTGGCAGTGTAGCAACCAAAGAGGTAAGTGAGTGAAATACCAACAGAGAGGAGAGGAAGGTCACTGTCCCGAGGGAAAGCAATGCCAGATGGCCACAAGCACAAATTAAAAATTCTGCAGATATGAATTTTACTCTCACCCTTTGATTTTTTTTAGCATAATTTGCACTGCAGTTTATTTTCATGGCCATTGGGGGGTTGGTAAAGGGCCAGATTGCTCTAAAGGGAAAATATTTTAATGTCTACATACAGGGGGATATTCATATTGTCAGCATTAAACCTACTCAGATCAGCTCTGTCTCCTGAGATGACAGTGGCAATAAAAGAGCCACCTGAGGGTTTCTTACAGCTGAGATGCAAATGCCCTCTCCCTTTTCTTGTAAAACAAAGCACGTGCACAGATCTCCTAGATGTGGTTGGACCCCACTGAAACTTTGATTTAACTGCATTTCTGTGCTGAATCGAAATTTTCAATGGCAAACTGAGAACATTTTGGCCTTGAATAAGAAGAGACATTTCTTAATAACTGCAACTAGCTGCTTCAGAATTAAAACAAATGTTGACTGCACATTCATCCTGGCAAAAATAGAAGAACTGACCTTAGTAATGATTAACGGGGAATACACCCAGATGTACATTTGAAACATTTGCATTTCAAGCACCAGAGAATAGTTTTTCCTCCCTAATGTTGCATAAAGAATAGTCAGTAAACTGCCATTCCTGTTTATGTTAGATCTATATAACTGAGCAACCAGCATTCCAGATTTTGTTTCACTTCACAATCTTCTGAGTTTTTCTTCTGCTGTGTTGTGTTTATTTTCTGGACATATTCAATTTTGCTTTTACGGGAGATAAAAATAATAAAAGAAATCTTATGGTAGAATAGCGGGAAGCAAATGACACTCATGCATTTTTCATTGATCCTTGAAAAATTAGATGAGCCTCCGACTTACTTTTGGATTTATCTATGCTGTGTTAGGGTGTTCTCAAAGAACCTTAAAGAAACAAATTCTCTGTTTTGCCTCCTATTTGTGGTAGGGGCAAAGAAGAACAAAATGAAATATCAGACTCAATGGCTTAAAAACCTGATAAACCTGTAGGAGAAAGATGTTTTCTGCTGCATCATTTGTCATAAATGAAGTTATTAAGATTTAAAAAAAACCCCTCAACCCTAGCAGCCTTTGCCAGAAATGGGAGACACAGTAATCTTGAAACAGTTATTCCTTCAGTCTTTCTAACCTCTGAAGACAACTAAATTAACACAGAAATTGGAGCTCTCACACACCCTACAGCCAACAGCTCCCAAAATCATGAAAACCTTTATTGATTCAATTTATTACAAATGCTGTCCCGAAGCAGCAAAAGTGACTCTGCACTGATTTATTTAATCCTTTTGCCTTTTGGCTGAGGGTGTGCTTTGGCTTTGCATGGTCCCACTGAAATGCAATGGAGAGCATAACAAGGATTACTCAGTCATGGAATCATCAAAGCATCTGCTAAGACTGTTAGGTTGGGTTTTTCTCTTCCTGCCGACTGCATTGGTGGACGATATTCTCAGGCTGTGTTCAGACCGCCTGGTCTGTTTACCTGGTCATTTTTAATTCTGCACTGATGGACTTGTCAGTTATCACATCGAACACAAGTATCAATATTGGTACTTTCTGCATGTTTGGAGCCTTTTACAGATGTGGCTCCAGGGTTTTGTATTTACAAGCAAACCTCAATTCATATTTACACTGTTCATTTTGATCTGTGAAACAGAGAAAAAAATCACAGAATCACTAAGGTTGGAAAAGCTCTCTAAGATCATCAAATCCAACCATTCTACCAGCACTGTCAAGGCCACCACTGAACCATCTCCCTGAGTGCCCAGTAAGTGTCCCCCAGGGTGGCACTGACCACACTTGTCCATCCCAGGAGGGCCTGCGGATCATAAACTAACATTTCTGGAATCAGGAATCTCCAAGGTGTTTCTAACAACATACTCCATCAGTTCTTGTCACTTTTTATTCAGTGCAAGTACGAAAATTCCCGAGATGGACAATGAAAAGCAATACATAAAAATCCAAAACAAATGATCATAAATGGCCCTGATGAGAACCCAGATCATACGTAATTTAATGGAGGTAGAAGGTCATTCTAAACACATCAAATATAACAGCACAAAGCAAACAGGCAAAGCACATCCTTATGTCATTGTGATATTGAGATTGAAAGATCACATGCTTAAAATAACTTAAAAGGAAAATAGAAAGTACTCAACAAGTGGAAAGCCAGATTTTTCTCTGCAAGTGCCATAGGTTTTGGGCACCCAGACCTGAAACATCAGTCATCCATCACCCTCAGGAGTCCTTCTTTTGTCCTGCTTTGGAGTGTACACCAGTTCAGATTGAGATTAAGGGCAGCATTTCATAGGGGAAAAGGAATGGCAGCTGTCCCCTCCACTAAATAGTGGCAGTTAACACCAGAGATAAAACGCTGGCTGTTTTATCTCCTTTAAGAGCTGAAGAGATGCTCATGCATGTTGTCAGGAGTTTTCCCATAGAATACTCGTATACATTTTCAGCCACATAGGGATTTTGGGGTTTGATAATGTTTGATAATGTTTCCTACAAAAGAACTCAAGGTGCTTCTGTATGTCAGAGTATTATTGTTATTTTAATTATGAAGACAAATAAATGAGTCACTGACAGTGGTATTTAATGTGATGAGCACATGTAAGGGTGGCTTTGCAAGAGGCTTGTGACTACACTGACCCCCCCAATAGCTCCACTGTCCCCTTTGCACATGGGAAGGGTTATTTGTACCTGCTTGCTGGGCCCACCATTCCACACATTCACTTGAAGATGGGCACAAAGGTATTAAAACAAACTTATCCCTGGGCAGAAAAGAAGCCAGTGCTGGTGCTCTGGACAGTCCCTAAATGCTGTAGTTTTTCTCCATTGCTGGTAGTGCAGCAAAACTCCTTACAGCAGCTAAAGAAATCCAGTAAGCCTTCCGTGTTTTCCTTAATTGTCTCTGATTTTCAGGAAGTCCCTTCTACAGTTTTCAATTCCCTAAAAATGGGCAGCTGTGGCACTGTGAGAAATAGCAGCATATTCCTTGGAAAACAGACAGGAAAGGACCAAAGTGGGTCTCAGGCTGGGGGTGCCCCTTCCAGGCTATTATGTGTCGTTCTGTTGGAATTCCTAATTCTTTAGGCACCTAACTGGCTCTGAGGAGTTCAACCATGTGCCTGGGGAGAGCTTTGATAAGCAGATCTGGACAAATGGAAACCCATCCACAGCCCTGAGCCCCAGCCCCCAGATCTGCCAAGCTCCTTGTATGCTCCCCTGGAGACCAGATGTTCCCCTTTGGATCAGATCCCCTGGGGCGAAGGCAGAGGTGTTTTTAAGGCACACTCTGCCATCCCATCACGGCCATGCTCTCCCAGTCACATCCATGCCCCCCATGGAGCCAGCAGCCTATTTCCCAGACCCTGAACAGCAGCAACTGGGGGCAACCCCACAGCTGGGGCCACTCTGGCTGATGGGAAAGGACCCATACCTGGGCTGGGCTGGGCTGGGCTGGGGGTGGAGAGGGAAGGGGCTGGGATGGAATGGTGGAACTGTTGGGCAGTTGTGGTGCAGGGAATGCCTCTGGTGCTGTTGAGCCTCCCTGGCCTTGCTCTGGGGCTTGATCTGTCTCCTGTGGCCCTGTGAGGAGCCTGGCTGTGGTGAGAAGCCCAACCCAGGGCAGAGGGTTTGGGCCTGGCTTGGGGCTGTGTGTGTGTGCCCCGACAGCTCCGGGAACATCCACTTTGTCTTCCAGGACCCCCTGGCATCGCGCCGAGGAGCTGCGGAACCAGAGTACACCTCGGGCCCAGCTGGGTGGCCATCACTCGCCCTCCCAGGGTCCCCGCGGTGAAGGCTCTGTGAGGGCCGCGGCTGCGGGGGCCACACAGGCGTCACCGCGGTTGGGATGGATCCACAGGGATGTGTGTCCCTTGTGACTGATGCCGGGGACATGACTGCTGTGCGGGATGGACCTCTGGGTTTGGGGCTCGGGGCTCTGCGATCCCGCGGCTCTGCCGGGGCGGGGCGAGGGGCGGGGCGGGGGCTCCGAACGCGGGGCTGGGGCAGCGATAGGTGTCATGGTTACTGCCGTCAGTATTGTGTGTTGTCATTGATATTACACTGTCATATTTGTCTTGGTGTCCATTATTAAACTGCTCTGATCTCACCCCGCGGGCTGTGTTTTGTCTCCCATTCCTTTCCCCATCCCACCGCATGGGTTGGGGATGAATGAGCGGCTGCCGGTGCGAAGCTGCCGGCTGAGGTTCGACCACCACACCGGGTCCTTTTGGGGGCTTACAGAGAGACACCCAGCGCTGCGTTTTGGGGGCTCGGAACTCAGACAGAATCCTGCGATTCTGGGCTCACAAGCAGAGACCCACCGCTGTGTTTTGGGGGCTCAGAACCAGGCTCACTTGGTCAAAAGAGAGACCAAGTGGTGTACTTTGGGTGCTCAAAATTCAGGCTCAGAGCTTAAAAGCAGACTAAATCCTGCATTTTGGACTCCTGAAACTAGACTCATATGGCCAATTCTGGGACTCAGAAACAGCAACTAAGACCTGTGTTTTCAGGGCTTAAGGCAGAGACCAAGTGCTGCATTTTGGTGGTTTAAGGCAGAGACTGAGTCTTGTACAGCATGTGGGCCTTGAAACCAGGCTTATGTGACCAGTGTTAAAACTGAGAAATGGAGACTAAAAGTCCTCCCGGCCTTAGGTGGCCACATTTTGGGCTAAGAAGCAGTGATCGATTCCTGCATTTTTGGGGGCCTGAGGAGAGACCATGTCTTGTGTGTTTGGGCTCAGAAATGAAGACCAAATGCTGAATTTGGGTGCTCAAAACCAGGCTAACTTGCACAAGTGTAAAAATGGAGATTAACTGTCAGGTGTTTTGGGGGCTTGAAACCAGGGTCACTCAGACATTTGGACTCAAAATGAGAGAAAGTTCTGCGGTTTGGGGGGCTTGAAGTAAAGCCCAAATCCCGTGTTTTGGGGCTCCAATCGGGCTCCTTTGGGCAGCGGGAGCCTCTGTTTCTCAGCTCTAAGTCCTGCATTTGGCACAGTCTGAACTCGGGCTCACCCGGCCACACCGAGAGCTCATAAACCGCACCTCAGTGCCGCGTTTGGGGCTGGAGGCACGGCCCCTGTCCCGTGTTTTGGGACTCAAACCGGGCTCCGGGGACGGTTGTAGGGCTGAGAGCAGAGCCCAAGTCCCGCGTCCGGGAGCACTGGCAGAGCTCTGCGCATCGTGCTCAGCAGGTATCCTGGGAGCTGCCCCTGCACCGGCACAGCCCCGGGTCCCCGCGGCAAGAGCGGGACCCGCGCCCGAAGTCCCCAACCCCGCGCCGGCCGCAGTCCCAGCAGGAGCGGCAGCGCCAGATTCGGCCCCAGCGCCCGCCCCGGAGCGGCTCCTCCCGCCCGCGGTGGTCCCAGTCCCGGTCCCAGCCCGGCGTCGGTCATCCGGCCCCAGGACCCCCACCCTGCCCGCTGGAGGAGACGCGGCACCCCGCTGGACACCAGCAGAACTCGGGCACGACGCCCCTGCTCCAGCCCCGTCCCCGCCTCAGTCCCCGGGCTCCGCCCAGCGCCGGGGGCAGCCCCCGGGCCGGGGTCCGGCCCCCAGCGCAGGTCCCACCCCCCGGGAGGAGCGGCCGCGGCACGGGGCGGGGCCGGGCCGGGGGCCGGGGCGGGGGCACGGGGGGCGGGGGCGCACAGGTGAGCGGGGCGGGGCCGCTCAGGTGCGCGGGGCCCCAGGGCGGCTGCGCAGGGCGGCACCGAGAGTATTTAAAGCCCGGAAGTCGCCCCGGCCGCCATTTGCTCGGTCAGTGCGCGGTTGGGGCGGTTCGTTCGGGCCGGGCTCCCCCAGGGGAGCCCAGGTGAGGCGCGGGGGCTTCAGCCTGCCGTGCTCTACCCCTTCTTCTCAACCCTCCTCGCTATCCCTTCTCCTTTTGGCCCCAGCCCCTCCTTTCCTCCCCTCCTGGCCCCCGTACGCACCCCGACCTCTCCACTCTACCCCTCTTTCCTCCTCGCTCCTTCCCCAGCTACCCAACTCAGCCTCCGTTCTATTCCCGCTCTACCTTTCCTTCCTCCACCTTGCCTGCTCCTCCTCACCCGGCCTCCCGCTACACACACCCAGCTCCCTTACGCACCCCCGACCCCCCTATACCTCTTCTGTCCCACATGCCCTTTTCTCCCCTATATCACTCTCTTCCCTCTACTCCCCTTCTCTCCCCCTCTTTGCCCTATACCCTCTGTCTTCCCGTACCCCGCTCCCTCTTTTCTCCCGCAGCCCCGGGGTTCGGGGTGCCGGTTTAATAAAGCCGCCAAGGCCAGACCCGGCGCCCCTCGCTACAGTCCCCACACGGGGCCGGTCCCGCTCGGCGGGTCCCCCCTGCAGTTCACAAGCACCGCCCGACACCGCCGGGGCTCCGGCCCGTCCCGACATCACACCTGGGGCTCCGTGGGCGGGTTCGGGCTGGGGGCAAGTCCTGCGAGTTTGGTCTCAGAAACAGATCGAGAGGTCTGTTTCTGGGACCAAACCCAGGGGCCGTTTGGGCCGCGTCTTG